TTTAATATCATTTAAAAACAAAATTGTATAAAAGCTAAAATTGTTGTAACGCTGTCATGACCCTCATCTTTGCATAGTTTATGCGGGATCTAAAATCCGAGCTAGTGGCATGATGCATTAACCTACGTAACGCAGCTTAAACATACACGTGTAGGGGAGCCACGATTTCCATTCATAACTTGAACAATTAAGATTCGTTCGCAAAAAATATTTGAAATATATACATACATAACTTCACGCCTGTCTCCCATGGGGGTAGGCAGAGACTAAGGAACGCCAATTACTACGATTCTTACATACCTCTTTCGCTTCATTACCAGTCATCAATCTTTTCATGCATGCTCGTCGGTTAAGGGTATTTTTAATTTGGCCCTTCTTTAATATATCGCCAATCTGGTCACTATATGTCCGTCTAGGGCGCCCTCTACCGACGGCTCCATTCATATCCGCTCTGTATACTTCTTTCGTTACTCTACTTTCATCCATCCTTTCTACATGTCCAAACCAGCGTAACATTCCCTTTTCAATCCTTGTCACTACATCGTCTTTCAATCCACACCTCTCTCTAATAACACTATTTTTCACTCGATCACTCAATTTTAGTCCACACATACTTCATACATTTCCACTGCATTAATCCTGCTTTCATGCTTCTTATATAATTTTTGCATATATAATTTTGGTTAATCGTTGTCGACTGCTTTGTAGTTACTCCTTCGGAGACCTCTGTATTAGAACGGAGTTTGTAGACTCATCCCCCTTCCGCCTCACCCAGGCGGGAGCAGTCATTCGATGATTTTCCCCCCTTAAAAAAAAATGGCACTCATCACGTAACTAGTGAAACGAGGATGGTATGTCTCCACCAACCAGTGTAAAATTAAATTAAAAGGCGTGACGCTACATATATTAATATATTATACTTACCTCTCATTCAGTACATTATGACTTTCATTTCTATTTCCTTCTTCACTCATGTGGTAGTAGACATACAAAAAATATTCATAAAACGGGATAATTTTCCAGACAATACATTTATTTGGTCACCGTACAGTTAGCCGCTTGTCTACCATCCGACAGAGGATAATGCGGGATTTTTACCGAAATCTCTCTAAGCCAAGACCAAAATGCTTACAATTTAAATTAAAAAAGAAAAAAACAAATATAATCTTAGTAGTGTTTTGAAAATAAGCTTCCAAAACTACGGCATTATGTCTGTTGAATAATGTTGAAATTATTGTACCATTTATTACGTTTTTATTGTTTTTTATTGAATAATTGCTTATGAATAATAAATTAATGAAAGTTTTAATCCTTCATAGGGTAAGTTTTTACTTTTTAGTTAGTGAAATTCTGACAGTACCCTACGTCATCCGCAGGCCTATTCCTAAATTCCGAAACAAATATTTACGCAACCAGCCAGTAATCAAGTTTTGTTTCGGGATAAAACATCGGTGATATAATCTCGAGTTCAAACAAAGTTGAGTAGCTTGTAAACGATATCCACTCAGAGTTGCTACTCGATATCGTGAGAATGTACAGAGGTTCACCGCAATGACCTTACGATGTGAGCTTAGGATACTTGGAAAGGTCGCGATTACAGATTTTGTTTCTTGCCCTTGCGGAAACCAGAAAACAAGGAATTTTTCCTTTCATTTGCAAGTGCTATTACCAGGATTCCATATGGTAAAATAACAATAGAAAATTTAGAAAAAGGAATATAGAGTTAACTAAAATATTCTCTACCGAATAACAACTAAGATAATGCCCTATAAATACCTCATAAAACTGACAATAAAAGCCATTTTAAAGACCACTTAAAAGCCTTCTTGTTATTTAAATCGTGACGGCTAAGTATAATGTTCAAAGTAAATAAACGTTTTACAAAAAACAGAGAAAGGCCAGGAAACTAAAATATAAACGAGTTCAAAATACCTAAATATTCCTGTACATCGAAATGGCTCCACGTCCTAGGTACACTACACAGTAACATTTTTACCGATACTGTCACATTCGACCACGACAGACGAGTGCGGTTAGAACTTTGACACGACATCTACCGCAGGTTTCAAATGTAACAAAAAATGCAATTCAAATAATAATTTTACGAGTCTATTTTTGTTTTGATTGCACGGTTGGTGCGGTGGTTGGGCAACTGGCTGCCGCAGAACGTGTCGCGAGTTCGATTCCCGCACGGAACAACTATTTGTGTGATCCACAGATTTGTTCCGGGTCTGGGTGTCATGTGTATGTGAACTTGTATGTTTGTAAACGCACCCACGACACAGGAGATAACCATAGTGTGGGGGCAACGTTTTAAAAAAAATATATACCTACTACTTACCTAAGTAGGTATTGACGCGTGACCGCACTAACGACGCACCACAATAAATAGAATAGGCAAGTCTCTTCAGTATTCAGTAAGACCTACATATAATTGCGGTGCTAGTTTAATAGATAATATTTATCTTCGACCATCCAGCCGTTTTTTTCAACCATTTTCATTTATCACACTCTTCAAAAGGTCGTTTTAAAAGGTAACAAAATAGTTCTGCGCAGAAACTATCCATGTATTTATCTTATTAAGTCTAGGCTTTGTTAGCTTACGATTTAATATCATTTAAAAACAAAATTGTATAAAAGCTAAAATTGCTGTAACGCTGTCATGACCCTCATCTTTGCATAGTTTATGCGGGATCTAAAATCCGAGCTAGTGGCATGATGCATTAACCTACGTAACGCAGCTTAAACATACACGTGTAGGGGAGCCACGATTTTCATTAATAACTTGAACTATTAAGATTCGTTCGCAAAAAATATTTGAAATAGAATTTTGGTTAATCGTTGTCGACTGCTTTGTAGTTGTTCCTTCGGAGACCTCTGTATTAGCACGGAGTTTGTAGACTCATCCTAAATGGCACTCATCACGTAACTAGTGAAACGAGGATGTTATGTCTCCACCAACCAGTGTAAAATGAAATTAAAATGCGTGACGTTACATATATTATACTTACCTCTCATTCAGTACATGATGACTTTCATTTATATTTCCTTCTTCACTCATGTGGTAGTAGACATACGAAAGATATTCATAAAACGGGATAATTTTCCAGACAATACATTTATTTGGTCACCGTACAGTTAGCCGCTTGTCTACCATCCGACAGAGGATAATGCGGGATTTTTACCGAAATCTCTCTAAGCCAAGACCAAAATGCTTACAATTTAAATTAAAAAAGAAAAAAACAAATATAATCTTAGCAGTGTTTTGAAAATAAGCTTCCAAAACTACGGCATTATGTCTGTTGAATAATGTTGAAATTATTGTACTATTTATTACGTATTTATTGTTTTTTATTGAATAATTGCTTATGAATAATAAATTAATGAAAGTTTTAATCCTTCATAGGGTAAGTTTTTACTTTTTAGTTAGTGAAATTCTGACAGTACCCTACGTCATCCGCAGGCCTATTCCTAAATTCCGAACCAAATATTTACGCAACCAGCCAGTAATCAAGTTTTGTTTCGGGATAAAACATCGGTGATATAATCTCAAGCTCAAACAAAGTTGAGTAGCTTGTAAACGATATCCACTCAGAGTTGCTACTCGATATCGTGAGAATGTACAGAGGTTCACCGCAATGACCTTACGATGTGAGCTTAGGATACTTGGAAAGGTCGCGATTACAGATTTTATTTCTTGCCCTTGCGGAAACCAGAAAACAGGGAATTTTTCCTTTCATTTGCAAGTGCTATTACCAGGACTCAGAATGGTAACATAACAATAGAAAATTTAGAAAAAGGAATATCGAGTTAACAAAAATATTCTCTGCCGAATAACAACTAAGATAATGCCCTATAAATACGTCATAAAACTGACAATAAAAGCCATTCTAAAGACCACTTAAAAGCCTTCTTGTTATTTAAATCGTGACGGCTAAGTATAATGTTCAAAGTAAATAAACGTTTTAGAAAAAAAAACAGAGAAAGGCCACGCGCTCACTTAGTAATTAATTAAATTTTATGTCTAGCCACAACGACACTGAAATAGCGTAATGTAGGTAAAACAGACACGAGTACCGTGTGTAAACAGACTGAGTTTACACACAGAATATACTTAATTATTTTACGTAATAAAGTTGTTCATTTAATTAAAACTGTTGTACAAACATTGAAACCTGTACCAGAATGTAAAACCAAAAACAAAGTCAACAGTTAGTGAAATAAAGACACAATTTATAGATATACTTTAATTTTGTGAAGCGACATTGATTAGTGAGGCACTGAACCACATTTAATTATGCCAGTTGACTCCTTTGTGCTGTCTATCAAGACAACGTCGTAACTCGTACATAAGACTATGACCAACCGGGTCAGCAATACTTAAAAAGTATTCAAGGAAACTCTTAAAACTAAACAAAGTAGCAACTTCCAACACACAATTTAAGAGCAATTTACTTTTATTTTAATTCGGTTTTATGAGTCGTTAAAAATACTAAATGAAATGGAAATTATGTCGCGCTATGTGAACTGCAATTAGGTTAAGTGAGAAGAATTGGAGCAAACAGAATTATGAATGTAATTTTTATTCACAAAACATTTAGTTGATTTACATATTTTCCCATTTATGAAGCTTAATGTTTAGAGTACATTAGGTGAACTCTTAAAACAGGATGTGTATTATTAAACAATTTTATAAATATATCATGCAGAATAAATAGTGCAAAGACATCAATTTAATTAAAATACGACACTAAGAACACAAAGAGACATTTTCTAAGGATTTAAATAATTTAACTACTTACGGAAATACTTTTTAAAATACTTCTTTTTCATATAGTATTGGTCTTTATTTTTGTCAGCTAAATTCTCTTCGAATTTCTTAGTCCAGGCCTGTATTGGATTCAACGTCCTTGCTTCTACGACTGGCGTCGGTAATCTGGTTCTTCCCAACAAACCCTGAAGCGCTTGTAATAAAAACGATAGTAGAGACATCGACACTACTATGTTAATCGGATCAAATCCAATCGAATGATGATGATACGTTGGAGCTCCATAGTTTGCATTTCCGCTTACTCCATAGCCCGAAGACCCATAGTGATTGTTAAAATTTCTCGATTCCGCAATCACATCAACCGAAGTATCGATCAATTCATTACTTTTCAGTACTGGTGATTCGATTTGATGTCCGTCTCTGCCGCTATTCGTTTTGATATCGAGTTTTCTTTTATTTAGTTTGGTGTCTTGTTTCATATTGTCTATTTTCTCCAACACAGATTGGGCGTTTGTCTGAATTTTCTTGAGCAACGTCTGGATTTTAGAACTTTGTTCCTTTATCATGTTTGCAACAAATACTTTGAAGTTTTGAACTGAAGACGAGGGAGGATTATTATTTTGTATATCTGCTTTGACTGTTGTTAGCATTAATATTATTATGAATAATGCGAGTGATAGAGCGACATTGTTACAGTCACTGTTATACAATTAATGCTTTTCAAAGACATTAACCTTGCTTCGTATTTTATAATGAAATGAAAGTCCTAATTTGAAGTATCGTTTTATATAAGGCTGGTTTAGGGTCTGCTACGTTAGATAATAATCTGTCGAGTAAAATACGTTATCGTGACATATGACCTAGCTGATCATAGGCCATTTCACATTGTTATGAGAAATGTAACAAAGGTTAATTCGTAATTTGTATGATGTCGCGTGGAACAAAGAAAGTTGAACTAATTTTGCACAATTGGGTACTCTATTACTACGCAGAAAACCTACTACCTGTTCTAACTAAACAAAATATTAGATGAAGTTCAAATGTGTCCAATTTTTATTTGCAACAGTAAAAAATGAAACTTATCATAAAACGAGAACGAAATTGTAATACATACTATTATTTTATTTTAGGTATTTTTCAAGACAAAAAATTCATAAATCGTAGTTATTTATATTCTCTGGTAAACTGCATAATATGCAATAGTGCATATTATGCACTCTGCAAATGATACGCCACCATTAGAAAAGTGCAGTAAACTAACATGCAATCCAAGCGCAATGAGCTCCCCCATCAAAATATAATATGAGGTCCCCTACACCGTAGTTCAAATTTTATGCAACAGAGGGCAGGCTTGTATCGCGTGTACGCAACGTAAAAAATAAAGAATAGCGCCATCTATTTAAATGCGCTTGCACTAATAATGGAAGCTCGTTAAGTAGTAAGTAAAAGCTCTCCACCGTACAATGAGCTTTAAGTTCAAGTATTAAACTTATAGATGGCGCTGTTAAAAGTGCGTGTACGCAGATCTTAGTGCCATCTACTAAAAGCTTTTGGTACTATTTAGGTAAGTTTTTGTACAGAGCGGAGTTGGAAAAGCTTCTCTTTTGTACAAAGAGATAGCGCTATAAAATTTTGTTTAAAGGTAATATAAAAGACTATTAGGTACTTACTGGTAGAAAACTACATTGTTTAAGGTTATCAGATTCTAAAAAATTACGATTAGCTGGAAATTCTTAATATAGAGTAGTATTCATTATGAGTTTACTTAATTATTACATGACTGCCTCGTTTCGGGTTCGATTCCCGGGTTAGGCAAAGTATAACTGGGTTTTAAAAGAAATCTCAGTACCGTAAAATGGAGTGAATAGGGATCGAGAGGTGAATAGAGACAGAAGAGGAATCGATACTATGAAGAATTTCCCAATATCTATTCCGATTCCAATTTTACCGTTAGTAGCATGATTCCTGCAATTATGCCTGGTATATGGCAATAGGCTCACCCCCTATTACATAGGACTCATAATCAAAACATAAATAGTGAAAAGTGAGCGTGACATTGTACAGTGGCATTAAATGCCGTAAGTGCACCTCTACCTGCCCCTTCCAGGATAAAAGGCGTAATGTTATATGGAATTATAGTTTATGACGATTAAAAATAATACGTAATCCAAATATGAGTAATAGAACAATGGAACTTAGGTAAACAGGTACCAATTCATCACACCAGTCCACCACTCATGACCCAGCAATTGCGATAAACAAATAATATTTTACAAGATAAAAACAGGCAACAATTTCCAGAACAATTAAATCTTGCAAGAAAACAAAGAATAGAGTAATTCTTGTACACTGCAACTGCATTACGCTGCATGCAAAGTAATAAAACGAGCGCGGTAGCCGTTCAAAGCGGAGTAATTATTCATCAGCCGAACAAATCTTAACCAAACAATACAGTGCTGATGCATAATTACAGACAGATAAAGGCCCCGATGTAAGTACAAAGTGGTAAGTGGGAACTCTCAAAATAAATGGTTGTGGACTACGATATTAATTCCTCGTTTGTCCGAGTCGCTACGCGGCTATTTTTTTAAAGGCACCGTAGGGTTAATTGTAACGAAGCGGCATTCGGACAGTGAAATATTTGGAGCGGCGCTGCAGTAAGAAGTTTGAAGAAGGTATTTCGGGGATTCGCTTTTTTTTCCGAGTAAATTAAATTCTTTGCTGTGGTACGATTTTGGGCTCTTATATCGCTTAGCTGTAAATTCAATTAAGAGGTGAGTATTAAATTGTTTTATTGGACATGATTTTATCACGAGCAATTTTGGTAAATGCGCTGATGTTTTGTTGACTATAAGTTTCCTAACTCTGGTTAAACTTTGGAAGAATCATTATCAAACATTTTTGTATACCTATGTATTTTTATGTAGTTCCCAGACACCTACACTATAGACTAAATATACATACGTATGCTTTATTTAACTCAGTAGGCTTTACCAGACATAACTTAACTCGTCGAGTACTGTATTTATAGACACAATTAAAGAACAATAGGTTGCGGTCACCGGTGACCGCTCGGTGTTTGACAGTTTAAGTAGGTATACTTTGCACACAAGAAACTGTAGTAACTACTTACCTACTCTACAAAATATTGTTCCAAAAACTGGCTGTCAGCTAACAATGTGAAAAAATGCTAAGTATAAAAATACTTCATTAAACTAACTTTTATCTACCGTGTTAATCAATGGGCGTGGGCTAGTAAAATCTGATAGTGGGATTGAAAAATGCTATATACCGAGGACACACAAGAAAAAAGAACAACTATAATAATGGACCTAAAGTCTATTTTCGCTTGAAGACACAGATGGAACATTTCGATTGTTACAAGCCAAACAGCAGTCTAAGCAAACTGGAGTTATAATAACGACAGTAGATTTATTGGTACATCCTAACACAATTAATTCAGAATTAAGTCGTTGAATCTATGAACATCAGTATTCTTGTATAACGTGGCTACTGAATGGCTTATGATACACAGAATTGGCTATTTAATATTAGCATGGGCAAGTTTAATGGTCAAGCAATAAAATTTTGATAGCCCTGTCTTAAAATTAATAAAATATATTTGGAGTCCAGCTGATTTAAAGCCCATTTTAAATCTGCTTGTCTCGCATTATTGCTGCCAGATATTAGAAAACTGCCAGTAAAATCGTAAAAAAACTATGGTAATATTTTTTATTGTCATTTTATTGACGATAATCAGCAGCCTTCGGTGTTTCTACATAATCCGATTTTATATTGATATCCATTTTAATTCATTTCTGCGTTACGAATTAAAATATGGACGCTTACGCGGCAGGATATTCGCTATCCGCTAGATATACGAGTTGAATTTAATTATCTAACAGTAGTTAATTATATAAATTTTTAATAGTCCCATAAATAATTTACATGTTACACGAAAACTATTTTGTATTGTTTTTGGTTGTATCTAGGCGCGGAGATAAGATCACAACACAGTGGGCTCGTATTCAATTTGCCGGCAGCGCAGTTGTTGAAAAATAATTAAAAATGCAATTAAAATTCACCATAAATCCGTCAGCCGCCCCGCCTAGCGTGTAAACAAACTCAAATTAAAACCAAACTATAAATAAATGCGTCGTTATGTTGTTTTAGTGTAATCGTATATCGACGCTCCTGGATTTTAATGGTTTTGTTACGGTGACACCCAATCACACCGTATTGAATATCTAATCGAGTCTCCTGCCATTTCCTTTCCAATAAATCACTGTTGTGCTTATAATTTTCTGCTTCCTTATTGGATTTCTAGATCCAATTTTCCAGAGATATAACGATATCTTATTCATTAACTCGCGAAATAATTATTTTGTCGATATATTTTTAAGACTCGCAAGTTAATGACGAAGCGATACTTAAAGCGCGAGTAGGTGCCTTAAAGGCACTTTAGAATTAATTCACATTAATTATAGAAACAATAAATACTTTTATATTGGCAATAAACGCGTTGCATTTCCGTTCCTAAGATTATAACATAGAAATAATTTATAGTCTATAGCCGGAGAATATCTTTGTTAATTAACGCGAAATTAATTATTTCGCGAAACACGTTCGGTGTAATAGTGCAGTCAGCTCGCGAATGAGGATTATAAAATATCGGTCTGGCAATCAAAATTTTCTCTCACGGCTACATCCCATCTCTGTCGAACGTCCAAGTGTGAGAGAGATGTGTCAGTTACTAGGAACACAGTGAAACAGGTGCCAACGTCTTTTATAGGGGCAGGTGTATTTGTTTAAGGTATCAAATCGTCCAATTAATACCTTCATAAAGAAGACCTTTTGTATCGATCCCGATAATTCCGGGGTATATTATACAACTTTTTGTTATATAATTTGACCAATCAATGGGTTATTAAACTGGGACCAAAACGACAGCAAAAACTTTTGGATCGTTTTATTGTTACAAAACTATTCAAACGCTATTAAAATAAGACACTTGGGCTAATGTATGCCCATGAATTGAAGGGTGGAATTTAAATATTCATACTTAGTATGCATGGCAATTGTCAAAAAAAAATGTCAGTTATGTAAACGACGTAAAACGAAACTAAATTGAATAGTAAAATTTCACCCTGTACACACAATTTTAATCCAGCAATATCACTTAAAGCCATTTAATTAAAACGCCGGCGTTATTTCAATTTTAGTGGTCAGTCATCTAAAAAAACGGTTTTGTTCAAACTGTTTTTCATTTCATTGTAAATGCAATGGATTTCACTTAAGTCGATAACTTTTTATTATAAATAATTATTTCAGTCATATTTCGATTTCGTTTAAAGCGAACACATTTTTATGGTGTACTATGTTAAACAAATACACTCTATATAAAAAAAAATATTATAACTGAAAGTGAAAAGTATTAAATTTTACTTATAATGAAAAATATTTGAAGTTAAGGATAGCTTAAACAAAACTAATTAATAATTTATTAATTAGTAATTTTTGCTAAGTGCTTTAAATTTCTCTAGTGAAAGAAGCTAAACAGAAATATGAATTAGCTAATCTATTCATATACACTAAGCTTCTATCAATTGGCTAAATCAATTAAGTCATAAATTGCTTAGTTAGTAGAATTTTCACAATCTTTTTTTAGAGTAAACTAAAAGAAACCAAATTTTTCCTATAGAGTAAAAAATAATCAATCAATTATATAGTTTAAAATTAAATTAAATGCAAATACGAAATTATCACGAAATCTCATCGTTATTTTAAATTAAAAAAAAAAGAAAATCAAAAGAAGAGTCCTAAAAAATCAATATTGAGCAAAGTAAAATATTGAAGCTTAAACTAAGATTGATTGGCTGCAGCCGATGCTGCTGCGGTTGCTGCAGCAACGCTCGCGTTCGTGATTGGTGGTTGCGGCATTAGGAGATCTGCTAAGCGCCAGCCTCACGAAGGCCAGATAGGAAGGCACCGTGGACAGTCGCCGGGTAGTTGCGCATTGTGTGTTCACCTAGATAAAAATAAACTATTATAATTCCAATATTTGTTATTCAACAGAAACGTCAACAAACTAAAGATCCATTACTTCAGAAGATAGCTTTCAGCGGCAGTTTTTTTTCTGTTGTATTTCAACCATATAAAATCCGGCCTGCGGTAAGTATGAGTATAACAAGCGCAAAAAGATGCGGCGGGAATTTTTATTTTATAATATGAAATGAAAAGGAAAATCACATATATTGACGGGAAACTTGATGGCATGGCGTCTGTATATCTATAAGGAACTGATACGAACTCCAATTCAGACTACACAACACAAAACAAACAAACATCTTCAACCTGTAAACAGCCTAGTCGTAAAACGTAGCCTACAACTATCTGTATGATTGTTTACAACATTTCGAGAGCCACACCTGTTTTATATTCCTGACACATAAAAATCTCACGAATCCATGTGAGGTGTAAAACATTACATAAAGTGTACATAACCGTCACGGTTGTGACTGCCGAAGGGTTAGAGGTGTAACGTTCCGGCTTCGTTATTAGGTCCCATGTGAGAGGGGCCTACTCTACTTTTTTGGAAGGGAGACGGTACAGGAGAACAGGATTTATTGTTGTGTCTGGGGATAACGAACACATCGCAATCCATAAAATTAACGAGATCATGTCGCGTGGACGTATTGTGTATGATTTGGAAAATGTGTTCGTACAGTAAATTTAATAGTAAGATCAGTTGTAGTAAGATAGTAGTAGTAGATAAGATGCGACATTTCTATAATATATCAATAATGAATCAAAGTGAACTAAATAAGTATTCTCAAATATATTCTTACCGGCAAAGAATAGTCTATTCTCTCCAGGTGCCCCTGGAACTGGGGCTGCCAATAGATCGTAGTCGGTACCAGATGAACCAACAGCCACAAAACTGTAAGAGCCACGAGCATATGGATCCGCGCGCCATCTATTAAAAAAACATTTTAGTAAAAGAAATCACATAAACACATTGTAACTGCCGACTAAAGGGAATCATATTGAGGTTCTAAAACTACGAAACTGACTGTATTTGTAGACACTATAGAGATGGTTATGGCTAAGCAAAGTAAGCAAATGTTCATTAATATTTGAAATTCAACAGTAAATCAACACACATCCGATCTGATAGGTTTCCTGCAAATCGGGACTTGCATCTGTGGATAAATTGGGTCGAGGACTCCATGCACCAGGAGATGGAATCGGACCCCTTTGCCAATTTATCGTATTGCAGATCGTGTTTAAAATTAGAACTTATTTCGGCACCTTTTTAAGTTACTTACCTGGTGACAACACATTCTTTCGGTTGGGGCACTGCAGCGTGGCCAAAAATACTCTTCAAAACGGCGATGCACCTCCCGACAATGACGTCATCCGTGACATTTTCCATCACAGCTGCTGCTTCCCCTGCCACCAGTGCCAACAAAACCGGTGCACTGTACAGGTTCCAAAAAAGGAACAATTCACCTAGGATAAAAACACCCAGAGTTAAAATTAAAATTCAAGTATTCATAAACAGTAGCGAGAACCTGTATTTAAATTTTGTTCGTACAAATTGGCTTGTTGCTCTAAATGCGATAATGAATACTGTAGAACCTTTATTTTACATTTAGTAATACGTTACGGACTAATCAAACTTGTTATACCTTCGTTACAATAAACGTTCACAAGTTCTAGCCTTGAGGACAAACGATTAATTAATTTGAGTTCGAATCGAGGTTCAAAGCCAGTCTCCTGTATACTTCATAATTGTTACCGAACATTCTTGTGGGTGAGTATTGCCCTGACTATAATATTCTAGTTAAAGTCACGGTATTGTTAAATAGAACGTCAAACGTGCGCTGAATTGATTTCAACTGTTCATATTTACAATACAATACATACTCGTTAGTCAGAATATATGTTTACATTTGTAGAAACAACACAGATTGTAATCTAAAGTACTCCAAACTATTGGAATTAATTTTGATCGTCTGATACACAGAAAAAATAAGGTGGGCGAGGATTCTCACATAACTCTTTACGCGTCTAAAAGAAACAAGAACATCAGATAGCTGTCCTTAAGCGGCGGGCCTACACGGGCCGAAAACATTAAATTGGCCACGATTTAAAAAAAATCACCCGCGATACATTGTTCCGGCATTCCCAGAGCAAACGTGGGGGGATTAATGAAGTTAGTAGAGTATACAACAAAGAGCTAAGGAGGTGAACTAAAGCATAACGTAAAAAAGCTTGTCTCGACTCGTAGCTGTGATTTATTGCAAGCGGCGCCCTCAGGGTTCCTCAGTAGCGTTAAATTATTCAGCTTTTAATTCGTTATCGCCGCCACCGACTTTACTTCGCTCTACACTATTTACACCTGAATATAATTCATGATTTCGTTAGCGTGCTCCGGATACAAAAAAGGTTTTAATGTAATATATTGCGGTGTTGTGGTGAGTATTTTAAATGAAAGATAAATAAATCTGATATATTACATATTAAAACACTATTAATGAACCTTAAAATATGATACACTACAAATAATTTTACTGTAATGTTGTTTGTATAATTAGTATACAACATAGTACTCAATACATCAGCAAATCCAATGTAAACTTTAAGCCCCCATCTACGCAAGCATCAGCCAATTTATTGACACTGATTCTGAGGTGGCTACGTAGCCTATATTGATAAACTAAACTTGCATGCTACCACAATATACGGGCTAGCGTTAGATATTCATGTAAATTGGATTCACTATACTACAGTATCAGGCCTGTGAACCGCACACAATCTAAAGGATTGCCTCGACAGGATAGACTATCGCTTGCAACTTGGTAGCGACGATAGTTCCGCGCGGTATAGTACATTTAATTAGGTCCTCTACAAATTAATCTGTACACAGTGATACAACGATAACAAGTGACAATCAGAACACAATGGCTAATGGACATGAGAAATGGAGTCCCCAGCGTACTAGATAATATTACGATTACTTAAATACATAAATTTCAAAACCAATATAATAATCATTTATCATCAATAGGTGTTACAAATTACGACAGGATATTGTTGTCTAAACATAAAATAAAACTGTAGTAGCATAAATTTTATATATTGAAAATATTAAAAAAAAATACTAGGAGGTGTTACGGTATAGACACTGAACCCAAAAATGTGGTTAAACATTTTTTCCTGTCTGTCTGTATATATGTTCACGCATCACGCAAAAACTACCGGTCCAATTACGATGAAACTTGGTATGATTATACTTTAATATCCTGGGCAAAACACTTACCTTTTCAGGGCTTCCTGACATTATGGTACAACAATAACTTTAGGTCTAATCAGTATTTTAGATTACTACCTTTTATGTCAAACTAAAAGCCAACAATATATTTTATTGTAGTGTACAATTAATTATTGGGAATCAGTTAAACAATAATTTAATGTAATCATTATTATCTAACAATATAGAAAAATTGAATAAACTAGTCAACATCAGACCTCTGCTAGCAGTAGTCGTTCCAACATGGCCGAAGAGATTTGCGCTCGGGTCCCAGAATGTTCGCTCGAAACATAGAACTACTTTGTTTAGATTTCCATAACCAAGTCGTTTGATAGCTGCTACCTGAAACAACGTGAACGCATGAAAACACTCTGTAAACATTGTCCCCTTGAAGTAGTAGATAAGATGTTAAACAAATTAAATGTATGTTTTGAAGTTCTATGATATTTTGTACCTAAGCTCTTAAGATGTGTCTAACGGCCGTTCCCAATATTCAATCCATAGGTAAAGATAGATAGCTATCTTCGATAGTCAGTTAAAATCTATCTATCTTTCGATGTCGTCCCAATAACTAAAATGTGTCTTTGCTATCTCTAGATATCAGTAGATAGGGTGCCTATCAGAGCCCTCCCGTGTGTTTCATTGTATGCAGAGCTCCACAGAGTGCCAATAAGTTACAATAATGTTTTTAAAGCATCTTGTCATGTTTATATCACAAACATTTTGAATTAATTAACAAAACTTTATATTTTGCACTAATTTTATATTAAGCAATATTTTTTAAGTTTAATATAACGAAAACTTCATGTTTGCGACTGGAATAGTGCGCGACTTGTAACGGAACGTATTTGTTAAAACATTGACATTTGACATTGTTGTTTGTTGATTTTGATAATATAACAAAGAATTGTTTGTTATAAAAATCACCTCAGTAAGTATTACAGTTTGTGCTTTTCTAGCTTTAGATTGAAGCTATTGAAGTTTTAAAGTTCTTGATTACATGAACATACATGTGACTCGTGTTTGGTGCACTCATTGCAGCAAAAGAATATGCTATTGACGAAAGAAGAAGTAATGCAGCTGGTACAATTGGTGGAGGCAAATCCATTGATGTTCAGCAAAGCCACAAATGCAAGCAATAATCAGCTCAAAGATGCGAGGATTAGGTATCACAGATAGTTTCTTGTGTATTTCATTTTTGGGGTTTGGTATTGGTTATGACTAATTACTTTTCAATACTGTTTGGTTACAAAACTTTTATATGGTGGTTGTAGTGAGGACCAAAATGGAATAATACACTGAATAATATTTTTCTAGGAAAACAGAAAAGACGAGCTGATGCAGATGAAATGAGTCAATTACAGATTGAAATCAGGCAATCGCAGAATATTACTTCCAAGTCAAAAATAAAACACGACGATGAAATACATGCATTAAAGAAACGGAAACTCTAGCTAGATATACTGGAGAAGGAGAAACAACCCAATAATAATTCATGTATTTAAATAAATTAAAACAGTTTATTCTAAACCATCTTTTTTTTACACTGTGTAATTTTGCAACACATAATAATTAAAATAAATATGTAGGTAAGAATAACTGACCTATTTATATTGATACAATTAAAAATTTCTCAAATTTAGCCTAAATCTATACACAAACTCGTAATCGTCATATCTGTACATGTAATTAACACGCTCTTGATATGATCGTGTTGTGGTGTGGTGAGCACATCATCCTCGTCAGATCCCCAGTTCCTTATTTGTTCCAAAATATCAATAGCACTTGAACTACTACTTGAACTGGAGACCGACATGATTTTTTTGTTTAAATCTGATGTATTTTTAAGAAATAGAAAAGATATGTTACTGATCTTCACTGATAACTATACTCCTATATGTATTTTTAAGAAATAGAAAAGATATGTTACTGATCTTCACTGATAACTATACTCCTATATGTATTTTTAAGAAATAGAAAAGATATGTTACTGATCTTCACTGATAACTATACTCCTATCCATCAAAATCCTGCGATAGAGCTATAGCCTACTAGGGATAACCAAAACTACTGACAGATAGCACCTTTGTTATTATTGGGACGCGTGAACTGTCAATTTCATAGTAAAAGCAATCTGTAGATAACCTATCCCTCCTCCCACAGGTAATGACAACCATAGATTAGTTTGCCTATCGCCAGTAAGTTTATTGAGACGGCAAATGACAATGACCAAATTTGTATGGAGCGTGGTGCCTTTTCATTTTTTCGCGGCAGTTGATCGGATATGGATAAACTAATGCAGAATAACTTTACAAACAAAAAAATGTATGGGGTCTTATATCAAAAACACAGTCCGAACCGAGTTAAATCAGTTCAAAGATGTGAAAATAGTGCTATATAATTCCTGTGATTTTGTTGATGGTGACCGTACACAACGCATATTTCTTCATTTACTTGTCAGAAATATTTTGTAATAAATGTTTATAGACGATATCAAGGAATAATAACTTATTGTGGACTTTTTTACTTATTTTTTTTTTGTTTTTTTATTTGTTTTTATTTTATTTATTTTTTTTGTTATAAGGCCACGGAATCAGAACAGAGTGAACCATTAACTGACCACTGCTGATGAAAAAAAAATTATTTCGTTTGATTGGCTAGCGTATTCAATTTATTATTATACGGTTTATGGCCTATGACAGATTTTCATGATCAAATTCCTCTCAGTCAAAAACCCGCAAAATACTTTACTGAGCCCTATCATGAAATGCTATGTTTGTCAGCTGCGGCGCCGGTAGCGGATTGAGTAGTAACAGTCGTCAAAACAAGAAAAAATCATTTTTCTATCTACTTCTCCCGACTTCCGATTAGTAACTAATCTAACTACAGTTAATACTTTAATCTACATCTAGCATAAGATTCTGTACAATGACATCGTCATTCAGTCACAAAGTAATACATTTCGAATGATCACATTATATAAAAAAATTATGCGCTCATCTGACGTATATTTCATCACTTTACAAAGTCGACAGTTTGCTTTCTTCAAAAGATTATTCTAACTATAAAGTAGATGAGTCTCCCACCAGGAGTCAACGGCAAAAAAATACTTTATTAGATGATTGGACGGCTACAACTACTCAACCCACCACTGGTACCACAGCTGACACTCATGAAGCTTCATAACACAACTCCTAGAAGCATCCTACAAGTTATCGACTGAGCGAAAATAGGTAATAAAAATTAGCGACTGGCAATATACCGGCGTACAGTGGCGCGCAATTTGAACTTAGGAATTGTGACAAAAATATGAATAATTTGGATAAAAAAACGAAAGTAAAATGTTTGATCCCAGCTCCTTTTAACGCTCATAACTCAGTCCAGACTGAGATTTCCATATATGAGCCCATAGACAATTTCGTTTGTAAAGACATTCTAGATAATATTTTCCATAAATCATCGACTGCCGCTAGAAAAAAGAAAGGCACCAATTTTAGTCAATGCCCTTTAAAGATAGATAGATTTTTTATCTTAATTTTAATATTATATAGTTTAATATTCATTTATTACTGGCACCGACTCCAAAAAACAATAGGTAGGTATATAAGTATAACTATTTTAAGATATTTAGATGGTTTAACTTTAATTACTTTGATATAGTTTAGAAAAATTATAGTAGGTATTAGGTAATAGGTATTAGGAATTATTTTTTAATTTTTACATTTTTTTTGTGTTCTCGCATTTGAAGTCGGTTTTATTTTTTTTAAAAAGTTAATTATTTTGGTATTTAATTAAGCATTTGTAGAAGTCCAGAGAATATTTAAAAGCTAAGAAAAAGAAATTAGAGGCGTTACAAAGTTTGCGGGGTCAGCTATTTAATACATAAAAAAAAACATTTAATTCCTTACTTTTATGAAAATAAATCTTTTTTTATATATCGTATAGTATATTCGTATATTAATAGATCTCGTCTATCCATATTTTGGCACACAAATATGTTCACATATAACATAATATCTTTCACTAACATTGTAAAGTTGTTTTTAGTAACACACAACAATAGTATTGTGGTTTGGGTTTACCTTTGTGTCTGACAATAGTCGAGGCATATCATAGGACCTTAAATATTTAATATTAAACCTACCCTTGACCTTACCTCTTCAAAGAAACCTCAGAGTCTGAGCTCACATATGATCAATATTTAATATGGTAAAATATATTGTAAGATTTAACAAAAGGGGTATTCTGTACCTTCCAATCGGGTAATGGAGGATCAAATTTGACGAAGTTCTGTTGGTTTTGTCCATTGTTCGCCACGGCTACCTTCAGCACGCCCAGGGGCAGTGTACATAGTACAACATCACCTGTGAAGATATTGTTCTATTATAAAGAGGTATAAGAACATAACAATAATATACTTACAATAAAATGCTACCTGACTATATTATGTTTTGCTAGTATTGATGGATTAGGTGATGATATCTTCAAAAGAACTAATTACCAGGAAACGTTGAGGATGTATCATGGCAATTTGATAAAAATCCTAACAATTTAATTAACCAATATTGGTATTCACAACAGCAGCTGTAGCCAAAGCGCTTGTCTATATGTAGAATAGAAAACCAAATTATATGGAATTGACGTAAATATTGACACTTGTCTCTGTAGAAAAGCGCTTAAGTGGCGTTTGGCTAAAGGCACAGATTACATAGTATCTAAAGGATTTACGAAATTTAAAAACGCATAGATAAAGTTGTTATTTTGCTTGGTAGCAAAAATTTTTAGTATCTTTTTTCAGTATAATCGACTTAGTATGGAAGCAAGCTTGCATTATCCATTCACAAGGCAAATTACTATCCGCTTCTGTATGAAAGATGGGTATCCTCGCATATACATCGGTACTTTACATTACCTGTTTCGATTCAATTTATCAATTCCACTACAAGCTTTAGTTAAATAGATAATTTTGTAAAGGAGAAAAGATGCACAGCCATGTATGTTTTTCAGTATTTTTGTTCATTATTAAAAACTGTCATCATTAACAGCCTATAAATGCCCACTGCTGAGCAAATCCTCTTCTCACAAGGAGAAGGTTTGAGCATTAATCACCACGCTTGCTCAATGCAGGTTGGCGATTATAAGCCCAGGTTTCCTGACGATGTGTTCCTTCACCGTTTGTCAGTGGTTTCTAGATAATCTTAGAAAGTACTTATAACTCGAAAAAAGTCACATTGGTACTTGCCGTTGGTAAGTTTCGAACCCGCACCCTCATGTATGAGAAGCGGGCGTCTTAAAGCTTCGGGCCACCACGACATTTTTTAGACACTGTAAGCCTCATAAATATGTTTAAAATCTTCATTCCGTACATTCACTATGCATGCATATCCCATTCCAATTTCCTGCTAGGACGAGGACATGTAAATAGCAAACCATTAAGTAATATTGAAGTATTCGGGCTTTTGAACCTACTCAAGGCTACTCAATTTTAAATTGCCATCTCTGTAATTTTCCAAAAAATTTTAGTGTCAGAACTACATATACTTAAGGGCGACTTAAATTTGAGTAACGTTTGTGTATTTGGAGATAACTCACTTATTCAATGCGTAAACAATCTTTACCTATCAATTATGCACCTATCGATACTCTAGCTATAATTATATGCCAGAAATTACTTTGTAATAGACGTGTAATTATAAATTGGGTCAAACGTTTAATCTGAATAAACGTTGCCCAATTAAGTGTTACCAATGCTCATGACATCAATAATATTACTAACTGGCTCTTTCCCTTGATTTAGCTAACAATATAGGAAGCACCTGCTTCATATAGTTTACGAGCTAACCAATTTGTTTTACATCATAATTGTTCAGTTTATTATTATCGTCTTCGCGTATACACTGAATTTATTACTTCATTATAATTTTATTTTAATTGCTTGTTAATGTGTACCACCTTCCGTGTACATAAAATTGTAGTTGCAATATTTCTCTTAATGATTGTAGTAATTACTAACACTTTGTCTTTATGCCTTACTTTTTTAATTTAATCAAAAAGGAATTCAACACAAAAGTACATCAAAGCAAGCATGGTATACTGTCAATATGTTTCCTCAATTTAAAAAATCATTCGATAAAATCTTCACAGCGTGCCACATAACATTCAAGTTAAATGAAGGTAGGGCAGTAGGGCAAAAGCAATCACTGTAAAAGGTTAGGTTTACCGAACAAAAGTGCAAAATGCTAAATAAAAACTTCCTTATATCGCACACACGTGGTATCTGCTTGACCTGCCTTGAAGAGGTTCCTTCAATTGATTCTTCAGGTAAAAGGATTGTTTTCTGAATCAGTTCGCTTAAGGAATCAATGCAAGTTTAAAGAAGGAGCTTGAACAAAAGGAGATCTACGTTTTAAATTCAATCTGTTAGTATCTTAACTAAAAATAAATAAGTTTTTATTCACAATGACAATACAAAAAGACACCAGCTCAAGGTTGAGTGTCATCTAAAAAAAGAAAAACTTTTATCAACAGAGCAAAAATAAAATGAATAAATAAAAGACATTGCTTAATATTTATGTGAAACGAAAACAGAAAACTTTTATGAAAGGTAAGATTAGAGAGACAAGAAAGACAAATGCGACAAGGGGCTTTGTTTTATATTAAGACTAGTGATGTTACATCAACTTCATAGTTTTCCTCTACATACATACATGCTACTCGACACCAAAGCTTTTAGGATCGAATTCGGTACTAGAGCCTTTGGGACCCTCGATATTGAACCGAATATCACTCACAATACTATGTAAATATAAACGATACTCAACGAAGAGAAAATACAAGTACCTCAAATATCAAATCCAATGTTACATGGATACGTAATCTCTTCAGCTTAAGAGGTATTGACGATATGTTTGAGGGCCATGTTTTACACCAAGTATAATTTCAGCTTAGTAATTGCGAAACTGATAATACGAATAGGTACTTTGTTGGGAGATGATAAGAATGAAATCAATGTCTTTAACTTAATAGTCGCAGTTATGATCACTAGAGGAACTAAACAGTTAAGGTTTTGTGAAGCGTAAACGATTTCAAAATAGCTAGATACATTCTAGCGCCGCCTCTTAAACATCTAACTGCCTCGTCTACGATAGACTCCGCCTGTATGCAAATGTGGCGGAAGAGCCTCTGGCTGGGCGACCGAGGGAGATGTGGCGAGGGGGGCAGTACAGACCGCCGGGTCAACACAGGCCCGACCGTATTTTTGCGCCTCGTCAAAGTAAAATTAACGCGTTAGAATTGCAAATCATTCAGCGACAAAGAAATGACAAGGAGCCAAGCCGACGGCGATGTGGATTTTTCTCATAACGCCCATTATCTCGTTTTGTTTTTTTTTTCGCAAACGGCACTTCCTTAATATTAAGGCCACATGAATTTGATTTTTCTATTTGGAACAGAAAATGCGGACGCTAACGCAATATGTATGTGAGCCGCTGGCTACAATCGATAGCGACTGTTTTTTTCCCATTGTTCCCTCGTTACGGCATTCGCGTGCAATACGGCAACTTTGAATAAAGGTGTGTAAAAAAAGTAAGAAGAAATCTTTAAACCATTTTTACGTGAAGTGCAAACCTTAACCGATAATTTTATAAAACCTTCTAAACTTAAAATGTTCCTCGTCGTCTAAAAACAAAGGATGGATTTGATAATATTTAGTTTATTTACCTTTGAAGGTTTGCGGTTGACTTGGATTCCGTGTACTGACAGCCTTAACAGTAACTCCTGGCCCTCCATACTGGATGTCCGTGACTGCTGTACCAAGCTTGATATCCAGGCCATCAGCTAACGCCACCGGTACGCATGAGTAGCCATTACGCACTGAAACAAAAAATAGAATATTATGATTTTCAAATTTTGGTGATGGGTACCTTTTGAGTTAGGAATAGAAGTTTTAAGCTTGTACACTCGCACGTCGAGGTAATCAATAATTATTGTTGAAGTATTACTGCATAACTGTGACTGTCATTATTCTATAATCTATTTATATAAAAATGAAACCCGTTTCCCGTTGTCACACAATAACTTGAGAATGGCTGGACCTGATTTTTTTTTGACGTATTTGTTATGCTCAGGAGAAGGTTCTTATGATATAAAAAAATCCTGAAAATCTTATAGGAACGGGAGAAGAAGGGATTGCGCGTACGAAGTCGCGGTCAGAAGCTAGTGACATATACATATGTATAATGACAGTCACTGGTGGGTTGAAAGAAAACCTTTTTTAAACTATGATAATTAGAGGTATATTAAACTAGGATATTCACAATGTTATGCAACATGTTATGGTGTGTAACGACACACCTTTCGTTTTAAATGCACAGTTCAACTGTACAGTTAAAATTGCACAGTGAAATAGAAAGTTGTATGAAAGACTCTATTAAAGTTACCATAACGTTAACAATAGAACCGGAATAGCAGATTCCAAAAAAAATTTAATGGACGTGTAAAATATCCCTTAATGCTAGAGATATATGCTGTTGTGCATCGTATCGTGGTTTAGTCCCACGTGGAACCAATGTTTGCCTGAAAAATACTTCAAACACAGGCAAAGCTTTATTCTTCTCTTCTTTATGGCTCAGAATTAACGGTATCTTTTATTTTATGACTGTGTATACAATAGCTGAACATATTGAAAGACATAAAGATACGATTCATAATGAAAATAATTGGTAACAATTCCTGACAAGGTGTAAAAACTAATAAGACAAACTAGCTTGTCTAGTTATTATTGATGTACAAATACAATGGCAACCCGCAATAATACATGTTATTATTTTGTACGTTTGTGGTGGTATTGCCTGTTCGTTAACCTGATAGTAAATGGCTGTAGTAGATACTACATATACTCGATACAATTCTATTAAGGTAATAAATTCTTCATGTAGAATATTCGTTTTTTTAAGTGAGGAAAATCATCATGGCTTCTCCGTCCGGATGAGGTTAGAGGGAGTATCAGACTCTTACTAACTAAGAACCACCCCACTCCTACTCCTGCACTTTGAGCCTTTAAACTTTTACGTTCTCCGCGATTCCGATGATGAAATATTGACAAATACATACATACATACATAACATCACGCCGTTTTATCCTCGAAGGGGTAGGGAAAGTTGCACATTACAGTACTTAATACTACTGTACAATGTACCACCCATTGTTCAATATTTATAACATTAGTCCCATGTAATAGGGGGTAATCCTATTGCAGACGCTTTGCTACGAATCGGAATTAAAAAAAAAACCGGTAGTACTTTGCCTGACCCTGGAATCGAACCCGAGACCCCTTGCCCGGCAGTCGCACTTGCGACCACTCGGCCAACGAGGCAGTTGACAAATGTTATTAAGTATTAATGAGATATAAAGAGTGTGTAATTCAAGTAGACTTTGGTCTCCCTATAACATCATTTAGGTAGGTCTTACTCTTTAGACAAGTATAAAGCTCGTGTACACAGAAACAGCAAACTATTTACTCAACCTCCAGTTGGTTGTGCACAAACTTTTAATCAAGCTAAATCACTCTTTATCAATTTAATTTGTCTTATAGAGTATTTCAAAGAGATTTACCATCTAGTAAATAAAGTCTTTGGGGCAACTTTCTTCGCTTTGTCTCGAGACTTCGAGAGCTTGTTGGTCCAGTTGTATCAAGCTGATAAACGGGCACACACGTTGAGATCACAATGCAGTTTTCAATTAGCCCGATAGTGCGGCGCACTATTGTGTTTTAATAACTTTAAGTGGATTTCTTACTCTATCATGTTCAGCTGTACTGTAGAGTTAAACTGTGTAATTGTTGTTAGGCTTTTTGTCGACTCTGTATTTTACACTACAGACACTGTGGCTGTAATTGTCGTATTCAATTAAGATGTTTGTTTTAAAAAAAATATGCAACTGCTAATAGAGCAATCATATCAATACAGCGCTTGCGTTGTTTCGTCGAGTGAGGTTACCGGAGACCCAATTACCCCCTCCCCAGTCTCTCCAATCCTCGAATCCCCCAAATTCACAAAAGGCCGGTAACGCACTTATAACGTCTCTGGTGTTTCAGGTGTCCATGGGCGGCGCCGATTGCTTACCATCAGGTGATCCGTCAACTCGTATACCGGTTAATTCCATAAAAAAAAATTAAACACATCTTTAAATCATCCCAGACGAGTATGTTTTGTCTCTATCAGCAAGTAATGTTATTAATTAGAGAATATTCCATGAATGTAAGTCTTAATTAATGTGAGCTCAATATTATACCCCATTTAGCGGTATCATCAATGATAATTATCGTACAATAATGACTATTAATAGCACAATGATTACGGGAACCTAATTAGACTGTCTGAAACAGTGGTATCCAGATTCCAGATATGTTAAATCTAATTTAATATTATGTTTAACTCGGTCTATTTTTTTTTCAGTTATAGAAAGTATTTTATTAATAGCACTGTTCTACATACATCTTCTTTAAGGTCTTGTGGCTGTTTCTCGTTTTCACCTTTTAAAAGCCATCATATTTCGTAAAAATCATTATGTGGGGACACAGTGTAGATGCTAAAGACCTATTCATTGCCCAAAAAAAATGTCTGAGAATAATCTATAACATTAAACCTAGAGATAGCTGTAGACCATATTTTGAACGGGAACAAATACTAACCTTGCCGTCGATCTACATATTAGAATTGGCCAGTTTTGTAAAGAAAAACATCAGGTTATTTAATTTTAACAAAAACGAACGCCGGAAAAACAAGTTGATACTACCTGCACCTAGACTGCAAATGTATAAAAATAGCCCAGAATACCGAAGCATACAAATCTATAACAAGTTACCTGAAGAAATACGGTCGACCAAAACTATTTGTATATTTCAAACTAGATTGAAGTCTTTATTAATAAAAAAATCTTATTATAGTATCCAAGAGTACCTCGAGGATAAGAATTGTATCTATAGTAATAAAATAGTATCTAGGTAGTAATTTAAGATTTTACTTGTTATGTATTTACTCTAAGCTTGTAATAATTATCTATATAATATTTATTGCATTTTATTGTAGCTCATGTGAATGTGATAAGGTTACATATGTTCCTATGTTTTACAGTCTAATTTTGTTATGTTTTCACTCACTATTCGGTTAAGTTTTGTTATTTGATTTCGTCCAAGAATTTTATTTATTACTAGTTTTTAATATTAATGTAACCAATTATAGAGTGATAGTATATTTAGATTTTAGATATATTCATTGTAAGTCACGGGGTGACATAAAGATTAGGAGAGAACTATAGATTAGTTAATAATATATAGGTATAGTTATAGCTCTAAGTAATAGTTATAAATTTCGGCTGATACTAAATTTGTAACGTTTTAAATTGCTGCGCCCTAACAGGGTAATGTACTTAATTAGTTGTATGTAATACTTCATATTATATGTACATTGTGCAATATGAATAAATAAAATAAATAAATAAATAAAAACGTTTAAATTAACATAGCCCTATAGGTTTTATTGATCATTTCCAATAAACCATAACATAACATAACATGCTTTCAAAACCAAACCTAATTTACACAACAAAATTACTTATAAACAGATAAAACACGAACATACAAATGTTCAATCTAACAATAGCACCATGTTACGCTCCGGAGACTAGTTTCAGTACACACTTGCAACATTGTACCATTTAACGATATTAGCCTAGTTCGTTGTCACTACCAGTCGTGTACTACGAATAAACTGCCCGAAACTGAAGGACTATAAAAGGAGACCGCGAAATGTGCACACACTAGCGTCAATGGTAGATACACGTAAAACTATACATAACCAGTATTAACTGACTGTCGAATGTTTGAAGGATGATATGAAGCGAGACCATGAAAAACTAGATTTGTATAGCTCAATATGTGTACTATGACATAACCGTAGTTTAGTTTAAATGTTCATAGAACTTTATTCGTAAATAACCGATGCTTCCATTCAAAGTTATTGAGATAACGGTAACAGGAGACCTATTTATAATTATTGGAGTTTCACTTATTGAAACTACTAAATATTAATTGGATATTGAATTTAATTTCATTGGCTTTATGTGCTCTATTTGTTTTAAAGTAATTGTCGCGTTAATTTCGTTCAAATATTGGAATTGTAGTTAAATGAATTGGTAATTGCTGTTAGTAGAAAATAGATTGCGGACCGCATAAATTAGGATTCGTAAATGGCATGGAATTATAATGTTCTATTTTTATTAGTCATCTAGTACAGATTATTTTTGGTAATCAGTCAAGCAGAGAAACAATAAAAACATTTCTTTAAATAAGACAACGATATTTTATAAGCTTAGCTCTAAAAACACTGTCACCCGGTATCTTAATCATTCTTTATTAAGGTCGAAAATAAAAACTGTCAAATAATTATTTTGGCATTCTTTCAATTCTCAGTTAAAAATAATTACAAAGAAACCTTATTATCCGCAAAGCAGTTCAAACCTTATTACCGATTTTATTACGTGTTAATGTCGGTTAAATATCTAAAGTAGCCCATAAAAAAGTATTTCAATAACATTGTTAGTCGTTAACTGGACTAACCGGTGGCCCATTACATCGGCAATTTACCTCAACTAAATATTGAACGAGTTTTTTGAAAAATATAACTTGAACTTAAGCAAAGATAATGTTCGGGTTCCGTTAAGTAGGTACAGCTTTGCATAAATTAGAACTGATTTGTTTTCAATTACTGATTCGTTGACTTGGGCTTGTATAATCCAAATACTAATAAGCTGTTTGTGTATATTAATTACTATAATCTTTGCCTGTGTATTCAATGGATTCAATAGTAATTAT